TAAAATAAGGAAAATTCGCGAAAATGAAATAACTTGCTAGGATTACAAATGATTGCGATAAAAATATAATTCTAGTAAAATAAGGGTTGAAATAACTATGCGGTCGCATAGTTATAAATTTCAATCTCGTTGTTTTCTGTCTCGATCGACGCGATCCATTAGACTTCCACCCCCGAGCCCAACATGGAACTTGACGTTTGGCTGCCCGGTCAATGTCTCGTCCACCGAAGCTTGAGCTAGCAACCCCATCGCTTCCTTGACCCGCTTTACCCTTGATCGAGTCATCGATGCTCCTTTTTCGATGATCAACGGATCCTTCCCCGAGCTCACCCTCGTTGTATCCGTACATTGGATCATATCAACAGTGCTAACAGATTACGACACTTGTCTATCAAGATACAACTTGTGGTGGAAGCACTTCAAACCACCAGTAACAGTGAAGTCGAACAATTTTTCTTCTCTATACGAGAAAATAATTTTGAAATGATTTTTGAAGAATTTTTGCAAGATATTTTAATGTAATACCTATGGCGGGTAACGGCTTAGGCCAACATGTAATATCTTCCAAGAAGTTATGAAGTCATTCCGCTTCTTCTCCAATTTTGTCCAAAGCAATAAACTCTGATTTCATCGTTGATCGAGCTATACACATTTGCTTTGTTGATCGAGCTATACAGCATTGGTTTTGAGATTTCAAATGTAGTATGACGATCTATTCGACAAGTTAAAAAGATAATCTATTTATATTTATAATTTGACTATTGGATCAAGTTCGGATATTTAGTCGAAATTGACATAAAGTGACTTTTCAAAATTTATACTTAACCAAATTTTCCAATCTTTAAACCAAATTCAAACATATTCTCCTCCTCAATACTGAATAAGAAAATACAGTTACTCAACTTTTAACGAAATTTCATCTCAATTGCCCAATTTCACTGAATTGGAATATTTTAAAGTGTGAGTGGCCAAAAAATAATGTTTTGAAAGTTGGATGACCATCTCTCTTTATCCTCAGAATTATGAATCAAGTAAAGTTAGTACGATATTATCCTCCTTAATCCACTTATCCCGTTTACCTAATGTCTGTAAATCATGTTCTTCAAGCGAAGATGTTGGTAACAAAGCTATATCGTCCGTCAAGATGCCTCACTTGGAGTTTACTCGAGGATTTCAAAGCCTCAAGTCAATGTATCACAACATAGTAATGAAAGAAGACGCTACATGGATCAAGAACTAATCATGATCAATTACAATGATGTCTAACCGGCCAAGCCTTAGAAATTCCAAACCAATTAAACATAGTGGTAATACTATTCAGCACCACTAATGTCAAGCACTAATATAAATGGCAACTGCATGACACTTAATGATAAATTCATTTAAATAAAATACCACATAATTCATTTAATTGAACTATCAAGTATTGACACCTACACTGATGCTAGATAAAATTATTCTAAACTTAATTAAGCCATTGTTTGAGCCCAATATTTTTTTTAATAAAAATGTGTTTTTGAACAATGATTTGACATCATTTCAACTACATTCTTCAATAAAATAATATTATACGTAAACTCAAAATTTTTATTTATTTTTTAACCACACATTTTTCATCATAACACAATTACAAAATGCATTTTTTTGAAAAAAAATAAAATAAAATTGGGACTCAAACATGCCCTAAGAGTCTCTTTGTGTACACAAACAAAACACTGCACATGATTTCATTCCCTTTGTCTTCCTTCCTCTCTCACTCATCAGACCTTCTCAATACTCTCCCACCCGGCCATCGTATATACACATACACACAAAGTGATCCCACAGCATCAAGAATTATGTGTGCTGGTTTTATTTTCCTTTGAATGAATGAAGAGAAGATTTTCGTGAGGAAGAAGTAAAAGCTGGTAAGTTTCAAATTTACCAAATTCCAACCCATAACAATTTGTAGCAGTTGAAGAAAAAGATGGAGTCTTGTATGAATTAAGCTTTCTCTTTCTTATCCTTCTCGAAGTTGACTAATATAGGTTGTGTTTGTTTGGTTGTGTCGTTTGTTCAGACGGTGGAAAATAATTTCCTGGTCTGATACGCAACTTTGTTAAAACCGCCAAAACAACCCGCTCCCATCAGTCCCTTTCTTTCTCTTAATTTCGATCCGTGATCCGTGAAATTATTAGAATTCTCTCTGGTGCACAAGCAGGAGAGAAATGATTGAAAATCCAAAGTTGGTAAGCATAGTTTTCCTTACTTCTTTATGCAGGTTGAACAAACACCTAAAATCTGCTTATCTTTGTATACGAAAGTAACTTATTATCCATAACCTTTTTTATTCCAGGAACCAATGGGCTCTGAGAATCTGAGAGCAAACTGTGATTTTTCTGATCATGTAAATGGATTGCAATACACAGCCATTAAATCTGATTCCTTTGTGTTAGATATGGAATGTTTAGAGAAAGATATTAATGCAAATTCAAGAATTAAAGTAAGTTCTGCCTTTCTTAATTTGATCTTTTCTGGGATTATGCCTTTTTTTTCTTTTTGTTTATGTGTGCGCGCGCTTTTGGATGAGAAAGTTGCAGAGAAGCCTTTCAAGAAAAGGAACATTTAGAGGAGTCGACAAGAAAAATGCAGCCAACGAGAAAGATATTAGCGTCATTGCAACTTCGCCAAGAGGTAACAATTATTCCTATTCTTTAATTTGTCCTTTTTGGTCATCACGATATCGTTTGTTTTTGCTCCATCGCTCGACCCCACGATTAGATTAACTAATGTCAAATTAAACTAGTCCATTTGATCCAATTATGAGAAAGTTTGACTAGAAATGGTCACCATGTTTTTGTTTGTGTTTCTTGGTGCTTGTAGATTACACGGCTTAGGTCACAATCGAGACACAACGTAAAGATCATTGTGTACTATCTTGTATTCACATACTTAGCCTCTGTTAAATTAGCTAAAATTGAATTTTTAGTAGATTTTGATAAAATATATAATTGAAAAGTTCATAAAAGTAGTGAATTTGATGAAATATGTGGTTATAAATGAGTTTGAGGAAAATGAGTTTATAACATGGGAATCAGATATGAACTTAATTTTATATAAATTAGAGATTTTAAATGAGTCGAGTTGAGGTGAGCCACTCTGTCGGCCTACCATCGCGCTCTGCCCAGCCCATTACACGAGTCGTTCCTTTATCAAAGTGTAGCTTGTTTCGTGAGATAACTCATCCAACATCTCAAACTAGTGTTTTGTTGCTTAGTTTGCATCCGTAAATCGCCCACCCCTAATTGTAAGAGATGGTCTGAATATTATAATTATGATGATTTCAATAATTAAAGGATATAATATTGATGCAAATGACAGGAGATGGGCAGCTATAGATCATTAAAAAAACTAATCAAACATCAATCAGGCCGAAACATGCGCCACGTACCAACCTGTATATGCCCACTTCCTCTGTTTCTTATGCTACTGTCATGTTTCCGCGTTATCACTCAAGGAATTAGGACTTGATTACAAAATTAATGAATATTTAATTAGTGCCAATAGAACCCAATGTACAAATTGAATTCATATCTTTTACAAAAAAACTTGACGGAGTGTACAATTTTTGTAAGTGAATGTGAAAGTCGAACCTAAACTGAGGCAGCCGAGGAACGCACGGATTAGAACTTTGATTTCTTAAATTGTCATTTATTTATTTAATTAGGTTTGATATCCGGGTTATTAGTATGCACGGCCACTGGAGTTACATGATATCAACGATTTCTCATTCAAAATCAAGAATTCGATGTTTCTTGATTTCTTGAATTTTCGAGTGTTTTTAAATCTCTCTTTGTTCACCTTAGTTTAAATGCATTGCAGTTCGCATGATTGGTAAGTGATCAGAAGTTGTAGGTATTACGGAATGTGTGAATGACAATTAGACATATAAGGAGTCTCATTTCTTTTTGTTCTATCCACAATTGGTTACACATAATTTGCATAATGTGAAATTTGGGTTATGGCTAGCTAACATATTCTGCAATCTGCGTGGTATTAAAACTGCAGCTGCTTTAGATGGTGGTGGTACGCCGGAAAAGCCCTTAATTGTAGCCGTGAGCGGCGACGGAAATTCCGTCAACTCACCAGTTCACAATCAGATCACTATCATTAACGGCAGCATGGGAAACAAAGCCATAGAAAGCAAATTCGGTGGCAAGAGATTCAGTTTTCGACGATCTTCTCCTTCATGGACAATTGACCCCAGAAGGGTACTTCTCTTCTTTGCAACTCTGTAAGTTGTTCATTTCTTTTCATCACCATTTTAAGGGCTCAAATTTGCACCAGCATTCCAATTATGTTCTCATTTTCTACAGGTCAAGCATGGGGACAATATTACTGATCTATTGCACCTTACACGTGGGCAAGCACAATGGGGATTACAATGCTCAAGATTGATAATTATAATTATAATTTAAAATTAGCCTCCCCCACTTTTACTTGTGAGTGGGACTTCATCAACATGTGGAAACCAGACTTCTGGTTAAGATACTTGACTTCTTTTTCTAAAAGATATGCAACAAACAGAGTTACGGCGAAAAAGGGACCGACTTTCCATTGGCATGGGCTTCAAATTTGGCAGATTTCACTTTTTTCAGCCAATTCTTTAGTATTATAATCTTCGAACAAGACAACAGCAGGTAGCAAGCACAGAAACAAAGATGTGGAATATTCGACTTTATACGATTGGCAGGATCAGAAAACACATGATAGTGTATACCTTTTATTTTGGTTTTTTGTATCTTTGCAGAAGCACAATCGAAGACAGAAAGCCACTTTTGTCTTGTGGTTAGGAAGTTAATAAAAGTTATGGATCTTATGAAATGTATTGTTAAATTAAAGTTTGATTATTAAAAACTTAATAAAATTTTAATAATGTTATATCAAATAAGAACTACAACAGATGCATATGCTAATCACAAGAAATTCCTCAATATGACGTGGTATCACATCATAGAAGATGTTTATGAATGTGCTTCAACATCATAAAATATCTAAGGGTTATTAACACAAAACGTCCTTATGTCTAGAGTTCATTGTGCAAAATATTTCTCTGTTTCATTTTTTTGCATTTTCACATTTCATTGAGAAAATCGTCCATAATTTATATGGGATTTGTTTGCACTTTTTAAAAAAATTAGAAGTATGGTTGCAATTAGTTCTTTATTTTTCTTTTTGTTTTATTTAAATGAGATGGTATATTCGTCATTTCACATATTCTTATTGAGATTGGATGAAAATGATGATTTTCGCAATAAAATGTGGGAATAGGGGTGGGAATGCAAAAAAATGAAATATAAGGACGTTTTGCACAATAAACTCCAAAAATAGGGACGTTTTGTGCTAATAACCCAAAATCTAACCTTACTTGCTTGGAGAAATGGTAAATGGTTTGGTTGGAACTTTACATCATTGAGAGCTTTGGATAAAAAGTTAGTCTGATTTGATAAGTCTACTTCGTGTTCATCAAAAGGTCCTTGAATATTGACTTACTGAGATTACAACAGAGAGCAACTATGATTGGCTAATATTCAATGATGTGAAAGACTTATCATCCAGTAAATTCTTTTCTGTTGAAAAATATGTACAATACTATAATTACCATGTCTATATTCTACATAATCTCATCCTATATAACTTCCCTTTCCCGCCACTAATTATTTCATACAAGAAACCTTGAAAGTCCCACTTTATAACCAAAACTTCTAACATCCTTTTGAACTTGTTGTCTGTATTCTCTGAAGCTAAACCTTCGATATGCAGAAGGTTCAACACAACTCTGTATAACAGTGTCGTAAGAAGGACAAAGGAAGTAGGCAGTCGAGTACCTCTCTTTTAGCTTATTAGCCACAACGCGGTGGTGTATGCTTTTATATACGTCGTTGCTCCAAACCTGCATTCATTTTGGGATATTACTAAGTGTCCACTGTCAAACGAGCACTTTTTATCAGTGCATTGAATGGTAAAATGTACCTGAAACAAATCTCCGATGTTGATAATGAGAGCCTCTGAATTGGGTTTAACAGCAATCCATTTCCCATCTTTGACTAATTGCAAGCCGCCAACGTGATCTTGGTGCAATATTGTGAGGAAATCGCTATCAGTGTGTGGCATTAGCCCAAACATTTCAGGTGAAATTGGGCATGCTGGATATCTGTTCATTCGAATAAAGCACGTGTTTTGCAAACACGTTTCTTTGAAGAATGATGAGTAATTTCGACCCAATTTCTCCGCTAAAATTTCTGCCAACTTTTGCGCTAACTCAGACACTTTTGCTGCAAATTGTTCCATTGTTGAGCTGAATTCATAAGAAGGATTGGGTTAAAAGCCAATTTTATGCACCAAACTTCAAAAAAAAAAAAACCCAATTTTTGGTAGTGCTTTTTAAGTGTTGATAAGCTATGGATTCTATAAAATGAGTGGATAATAAGTAGTATATGAGAATCCTACTGAATGTGTAAATAAAAAGTTACCTGAGAGTGCAGAGGCCACCACAACCCAAGATATCACTCAAAGGCACGTGATAAGCTTCCGACCATGACAACTGCGTCAGGCAATTCGGTGATGGTGTCCCCCAAATGTAACTCCCGGTTGAAAACTTCAAATCATTGCCGTTTGTCTTCTCGTGGAACGGCTTCTTAAACGCCTTCATTTGTTCTTCTCTCATTTTCTCCAGTACTTGGTTAGATATTCCGTGGTTTACAACTTGAAAAAAACCCCATTCTCGGGAAGCTTCAGCTATCTGTCTCTTGCATGCCTCTCTCTCCGAATCTCCGAGGTTTAACATGTTGAGATCAATCAATGGGAGTTCGCGTTCCTCCACGACGAGTAGTTCCTCAGAATTCTTTGCTAATTCTATGTCAGTTAAACCGTAGAAGAGGTTTTTGTATTTTTCTTGAAATGGTGGATCAGGGGATTCTTCCATTCCTATTGGCTGAAGCAGCAAAAGTCCATTGTTAAACCCAAAATTTAAGTAGATATACCACAGTCTAGGATGAGAAGTAAATTCTTTAGGATTTGAAGAGTCCTAGGAACGTTTCTTTATCATGAATATAATTTCAAATTCAACAGACTTAAAATCTGTATGTACTGTTTTATCAAAAGAAAAACAATTTCAGTAGCTTTATTCTTTATTTGATTTATACTTACTTGGTTTATAAGATGCTCTGAATGATTTACAGATTTAACCATCTTTCCTCCAACGAGAACTTGTGCGGATCTCTTTCAATAAGTTCTGCTTCAGCATTAAATAAGTAAATAGTCATTTAAAAGAAAAATCTACTTTCAGACAATATATAACATCTACTTTCAGACAATAACAAGTAACATTAAATGTAGAATATAGGTTGCATGGCAAATTGGCGACACCCAAATATCCATAGTGACGTTGTATACATACACACACTGTGTCGAGGAGAGAATTAACTTGGTGTCGAGCAAAATTCGATCTTCAATTCTCGCTACACAAAAACAAGATTTAAATAAATACAAATAGTTAGTGTGTATACGCCGCCCATACTTAGATGGAAAAACAAACTGCATGCAACAAAAGAATATAAAAATAAATAAATAAATAAATAAAAGTGAAGGATAGATTCCTTGAAGACAAAGAAATGGTGTTTTCTGATATGAAAAATGATGGTTCCAGGAGGGGAAAGAGAAGGAGGGAGACAGAAGAATGAATATCTAAAAGGGTAGTAATGTTACTTACGTAGAACAGAAAATTGCTTTTGGGTTGCCCTGGAAGATTGGAGGCTAGATATTTAAACTGAAAAGCGGGCCAACCACCAATCATTTCACTATTGAATTTTAGAAAATAGATAAAGATTATGTGTTTTAGAGAAGAACACGCTGCTCGTTTTAGGATCAGCGAAATATTTTCCATAAATGTACCGTATTTCCTTGAGCTTATTATGCACTTGTCTGTAAATATTAAAATTCAAATTTTAATTTAAATCAAAGTCAACCATTAATTTTAGCCACATTATTTATAGAATCCGTAACTATTAACACTTATGTTGTATCGGCAATTTTTTAGACAAAAAGATTATTATAAAAGAATTGTAAAAGTCAATAAATCTTTTGGAGGGTTGTATAGATGAATTAGGAGTTTTTGAGTTCGAGTATGGAATAAGGAAAAAGAGTCATCAAATTTACACTAGTATGCCGTCTAGCTGATGCTTGAGCGGAAAAAACAAAATCACTGCCGTCCGCCTATAGTTAAAGCGACACACTTATCGATCGCTTGTCGATAGCTTGGCGCTCAACCGACGGTGTTATACGTGAAACTCTAGTTCATGATTTTCAAGAGTTCCATCTGTCTTATTCTACCTAAATACCTCATATTATAAATATTAAATGCTCATTACGTTTTTGTGGGTGATTGATAATTAAATTATATTCTCATAACATCAATCCAAGATCCAATAGCACATCCAAATATTGAGATTAAACATTTGATTCTTGAAATCAATCAACCACAAGTTGGGAAAAACATTGAATTCAAATAATCCAAAACATCCACTTCCTAAATATAATCAGGAAGGTACTTTCTCAATAACTTTTAGAGGTTGCTGAAAACTGAGGAATGCTGGACCAGAAGTACAGGAAGAGTATATGAATAAGGTGTTCTTGATGATCCACATGAGATAGACAATTCTAAAAGATTGAGAACATGTGTGAGTGAAGCACGTTCCAGCGGGGCTTGGAGATTACAGGAATTAGATCAGTGAGTTTAGTTAGTTTTATAGGCAGGATCATGATGTAAATTCGTATTGTCTATAGTGAAAACAACTGGCTTGATCCCGAAATTTTTAACCCAATTAAAGGTTTTCTTCATCATCAATTTTTTGTTTTGTTTATATTATTGATTTCATACAAGCCGACAATTCAACAAATGATAGCTAATTCACGTTAACTGAATTTAGAGTAATTAATTATTATGACTTATTGCAATATTAATCAACGATAATTTTTAATTCCGCAATATTCACCTATTCACACCCTCGAGGTGATTTTAGAGTCAAACGCGTAAAATTTTAAGTGGTATTAGAGACCAAATTCGATATCTAACCTTAGTTTTCTCGACGAGTAGTTCATTGTCTGTTCCACTATATTTTGATTGCATCAATTTTGCATATTGGAAAGTTAGAATGAGAGTCTTCTTGAAACCAATGGATGAATGTATTTGGTTGGGCGTAGTGAATGGTTGGACTGCCCCTTCTAGCACTGTTAATGATGTTGTCATCCCCACTCCTACAGCTAATTGGTCCAAGACTAATTTAGATGAGTGTAATTGGAATAGTAAGGCTTTACATGCTTTATTTATGGCTACATCACCCGAAGAGTTAGGCGTGTGTCTATGTGTGAAGTTGCTAAAAATGTTTGGAATATTTTACAGACCACACATGAGGGAACTCGGGCTGTTAACAATTCTAAATTACATATGTTGAGCACTAGGATAGAAGAGATTGGGATGAATGATGATGAGACCTTCGATGGCTTCTATGCAAGCTTGAATGACATAGTTAATTCTAACTTCAACCTAAGTGAGATAATTCCTGAGCCTACGATTGTCAGAAAAATTCTTAGATCATTATATGAGAGATTTAGGCATGAAATTACGGCTATAGAGGAGAGCAATGGCATAGATGCTATTAAGGTTGAAAAATTGGTTGGATCTCTCCAGACTTATGAACTAACATTAGTTAAACCTAAGAAATATAAGTCTTTGACTGTGAACACTGTTAGGGATGATTATCATGATTCTTCTGATTCAAAATCACTTAATGATGACAAAATAGCCCACTTTGTTTAGAATTTTCAAAAAAATATTTAGAAATAAGAAGAAAACAAAAGAGAGATATAGAGGTGATTTCGATGAGTTTAGAAAGAGATCTAAATCTATGAGATGCCATGAGTGTCAAGATTTTGGCCACTATAAAAGCGAGTTCCCTAATGGTAAGAGAAATCAATGTAAAACTATTGCAACTTTCACTGATGACGAGTCTAGCTCGGATAATCAAATTGAGAGAGAGATATGAGGATAGTAGAAAGTTTATAGCCTCACTGCTAGGAATAAAAGTGAATCTGATAAGAACAACGAGAAGGTTGAGAAATTAGATAATGGTGAGCAATTTGAGGAAGAGACTAAAGATGAGGAAGAGATTTGCGAGACTTATCAAAAATCATTTGAAGAAAGTCTTAAAATTAAAAAGATAAATAAATGTGTGCTTAAGAAGTCAATGAACTTGAGCTAGTTAGAGAGAAACTGGTAACCGACCTTCAAGAGTCTACCTTGTGCCTCAATAAATTAGATACTGTGAATCAATCACTAGAGTTTAAGATCAAGAATCTTACAGGTGAACTTGAGAATTCCTCTAGGAGAGTTAGTGAGCTGACTATTGAGAATATTAAATTAGAAATCCAAGTTAAGAACCTTCTGAGCGAACTTGAATATTCCAAGTCTCAACTTCTTGCTTTCTCCAGTGGTTTTGAGAAGCTTGATAATCTTTTAAGGATGAACAAGACGTCTAGTAACATGAGTGGTCTAGGCTATAATAATTCTAATCCTGATGATGCTAGCACTTCCAAAATCACATTTGTCCCTACTACTAATAAGACTCGAATAGTAAGTAATCCAAATAGAAATCAATTTCAGGAACCACGTAGATTTGGTCATAGATTTATTTCTACATGTTTTAATTGTGGTGAGTTGGGACACACAAGGCCTAGGTGTAATAAACTTGTGAAAATAAGTAGAAATCTTGACAGATCAAGTACAGTTGACTTCTTACAGACTAGGTTAGTGAACTGACTGTGTTATTAATTTAGTAGACCTAAACTCTAGTATATCTCCTTAAATAAAAAAACGTTTCTTCTTACTCTTTTTCTAAACATATTTGACTCGAGCAATTAAATTCGAGGGGTTTCTTATAACCTAATACCCTATGGTCAACTGATTTAGGGTTATCGACCAAAAACTCGTTACACGGATCATCTTAATCGCTTAATGAAGAAGAGTCTGCACATAAGATATGAAAAATTGAAAAGAAAAATGATGAGTTTTAAAAGAAAAATAGAGATTGTGCTTAAATGCATATATGCTCAAAGTCAGTGGAAGAAAGTAATAATATACATGAAAAATGAGATTCATTTATAGGTCCTAATATGCATCATTAGTTTGACTTTCATTATTAGGGAAATAAACTTATTTAACAACGATATTTAGCACGTAATTTCCCACAAATTTAAGATTTTGAGTCTTGATTACAAGAAACTAGTGGCACTTTACACACATGAGTCACTTATACAATTTACTCTAGTTAGACTTGAATTTGGGTATGTGAAAAAGTTTACTTATCATTGATTATGCTTGTGCATGCTATCAACTGCATTTTTGAGTTATTATATATTGTTGTTATAATTTCCTTCGTCATTTGTAACAAAAAGGGGCAGATGTGATGGCATTTTAATTTTATTTTAGTAATTTAATTTTAGTTAGGTATTTTACATTTTAATTTTAATTTTGGAGAGTTTGCAGTAAGGGAAAGATGATAGTATTGAACGTTTTGCTTTATTGAATGCTTATATTTTTTGAGTTTTGATATTTTGTGATATTAATGTTTCAATTGGTATTTTGATTAACGTTAATATTACTTCTCAATCAAGCTAACATATTTATGATAGTCTGTTTCAGCTGTTATATATCATGTACCACACGCTTTTACACTTGGTTGAGTTGTTGATTTCAGAAAACAGGTTTTTCAAGGAATGTAAGAGACGGACATTCTGTTTAAGTTTGAGTTTGTCTAGATTAGTTTGTTTTTACTTCCTTGACTTGTATTGTATAGTTTTGTCACTGAATACCAAAATGATAGATTGTTAGGACTTGTGTTGTATGGCAATTCTTTAAAACAAATGATTATTATAAAAGAGTTGTAAAAGTCAAGAAATCTTTTAGAGGGTTGTATTGATGAACTAAGAATCTTTTGGTTCGAGTATGGAATAAGGAAAAAGAGTTGCGGGATTTACTCTAGCACGTCGCCTACTTAATGTTTGAGTGAAAAAAACAGAATCATTGTCGTCCGCCATCGCTCAAGCGACTCACCTGTCACTAGCCTGGCCCTTGAACGACTGTGTTATACGTGAAACCCTAATTCGTGATTTTCAAGAGTTCTATCTATCCTATA